GGGTGCCAGGGTGGCAGGGCAGCAGGGCTGCCCCCAGCGGGCAGAGCGCTCCCGCCGTGCCCGACTGGTGCCCGGTCCGGTTCTGCGCCACGCTCAGGCCCAGCACAGGAAGCCTGCCCTGTGCCTGGGGGGAGGGACTTCAGAGGCAGGAGAGGAGTCCTTTGAAACTGAAGAGGGAAGTGAAGGCCACTGACATTACCAAATGCAAATATCTAACCACCAAGTGTGGGATCCTTCCTCCGGCCCTGTTCTAAAGGAAATGATGCCAGCACTGCACCTTGCAGAGTCTTATCCTGGCAGTGTGTGTTAGGTATGTTCCAGGAACACCTTGGACACTGAGCATCTCCCAGGACTTAAAGTCTTTCCTCTCAAAGGCTGTGATCAGTTAAAAAAAATCTACTAGTTACAAGTACTCAGTTAATATGAATTCTCCTGATGGAAGCATACGATATGCTCTGCCTTTGTGGTGTCTTTTTTCACTGATAAACCCAGGTAGTCCTCTAGTTGGAATGGTTTTGATTAAGAAATTATTTTATGTCAATGCCTTTTCAAGCTGAAACTTCCTTTGGGTCCCATTCCATGAATTCAAAATGTCATTGCATTGACATTTCCATTGACTGCATGGGGCACTGAATCAGTCTTTTTAAACTTCTGTATTTTAAATTCCTGGCTTCTGCATCAGAAGAAAACATAACTGTTTGCCAGGTTGTCAAATTCATATTCCAAACATCTTCAGATCATTCTTTGGATTCTTTTAAAATGCCAGAACAATATCATTATCTTCTAATACTGACTGGTTCTTTTGTTTCAAGCTCCCAAGCTGCTGAAGAAAATTCAAGCAGAGTTGTTCCCAGACTGCTCTGGAAATATTAAGTTATGGTGTCAGTTTGGTGACATTCATGGTGACTCCACCATTACATGGACTAAAGATTCCAAGTTACTAGCTCGACTGCAGAGAAGGTGAGTAAATGTTTCTGAAGGACTGGTGTTTTCCAAACAGTTTTGGGGAAAATAAGCCAGTGATTCACTCTTGTACCTGTTAAGAGGATTAGAATGATAGATGCCAAAAATAAGTTAACATTACCCAAAGAGAAAAAAGGAAAGATATTTCCCTCAGAATGCACAATTCTGCAAACATGAACAAACAAGTTTTGTAAGAAGTTTTTTTAAGTGGAGAGAAAAAGTTGCATGATTTGGTTAAGCTTTCCATGCCATTCTGATTTTTGTTTTAATTATACTGTAGTAAAATATCCATTGAAATATGAATACATAATATTGTCTGCTAAATAGTTTTGCAATGTTTTAGCAAGTAATCAGTGCAGAGATATCAAATTTACCAGTTTGTAGTGATAACAGGTAAAATATGTGATAACATAATTCTAACTTGATAGGATAAATATATTTCAAAATATTGAAAGTGAAGTGTGATACAGAACAGAGATTTAACAGAGTAAGAGAGATTCCAAGTTACAATTTTTGCTTCAGAAATATTCAGTGGAAAACTCCCTTCCATCACAATCAAAATCTAATTGTTTTGTGTCTAGCCACAACTTGGTTTGTGCATGGAGTTGCAGACACAGACATTAGAGAGCAAGTATCAAGCCTGATAAAAGCAAAGGAACAGAGAAACTGAGTGAGGGGTCAGTACAGAGGAACAGTGTACAACATTTTGGGCTTTTGTATGTTCATACTTTGTATATTTGGCCATGATGTTGGTAGGAATATTAGAATCACAGAATCATAAAGGTTGGAAAAGACCTCTGAGGTCATCAAGTCCAACCATCACCCAACACTACCATGGCCACTAAACCACCTCCTGAAGTGCCATGTCTACACAGGAACCCCTCCAGGGATGGGGACTCCAGCACCTCCCTGGGCAGCCTGGGCCAAGGCTTCACCACTCTGCCAGGGAAGAAATTCTGCCTCATACCCAGTTGAAACCTCCCCTGGCACAACTTAACCCCATTTCCTCTTGTCCTGTCGCTGGTTCCTTGGGAGGAGAGACCAACACCCACCTCACCACAACCTCCTTTAGTGACTTGCAGAGAGCAATAAGGTCTCCCCTCTTCTCTTCCTCTTCTCTGCACTAAACAATCCCAGTTAAGAATTGGAATTATTAGAATGCCTTTTGGTGTGATTTAAGTATTTTTGGATTTGATTTAGGCACTTTTCCCTCAGAATCTAGTATGATCATCTATTGTGAAACACATACTAGGCCAAATCCTTCCATTTTGTCTACTTACATCACATTTGAATCAGCCTCAGCAGTGAGGGACAGAAATTCCAGGGACAGGAAAAAGTTATATGGAATAATCAGGAAAGGTATTTTAAATGTATTAATGTGGAAAACTAACATCTTCTGTTCCAGCACCCAGGATGACTCTCCTGTCTCTTTGGCAATAGCTAAAGTCAGTAACAAAGACCAAGGAATGTATTATTGCTGCTTGAATAATATGTATGGGAAGGTGACTGCTGAGTTTAACCTGACTTCTGAAGGTAAATCCCAGATTATAATTTTTATTAATAATAATGCTAATGGCAGTTTCCATTCATATTCCTTTTACTGAAAGATCTCTTGTTTCCTTGTAGTATTGGAACACCTCTCAAGTCTTCAGAATCGTGAGGGTAAGTAGACACTTCTGCTTGAGAGCGTGCTCAAGTCTTTGTCCTGTCTGATTTCCACATGGAACAAAGGGTGGAGAACAGAAGCAGACTGAGAGCTGTGGTAGTGATCCATGGGAAACCATGGGCATCCACTGAGACCACTGAGTCAGGGTGGTGGCTTTGCGAGCTGGCCTTCCCTTTCTGTGCTCCCCTTTGCTGCCCCGACAAAGGTGAAGTTTGCTGCGGTGGGTGAGAGCCCCGCAGGGTGGGGCAGTCAGGCCCTGCTGTGTGGAGTCCTGGCTGGAGCTCGGCTGCCCCCCGCAGGCACACGGGCTTTGCAGGTCTGTGTGACTGCACCCAGGAGGGGCTGGAATGCTGTCCCCACGTGTTACCTCGGGTTTAATCACACCGGGCGTGTGTCTGGCTGTGCTGCAGCTAAAGATAGACAGTGCATTACAAATGGGTTCATCACTTCTGAGCACACTGTACTAATCGAGGGCTTCATTCTGCCAACTGATTTTTCTTCCTTTTTCTAGAAGAATAAAACTAAACATTTAGCTCCTTCTTAAAATGCAGAACTTGTCATATAACGACACAGAGAATTTTAGGTGGAGCTAAGAAGCCTTCTCATTCTGGCTTTATCCATGTGCTCTTTTCTCTGTGCTTCAAAGAGAAGCAGTACTGTATGGAGTCTAAACCAGAGGTGACTACAAAGGGGAGCTGGAAGGACCTCATTGCTGCATAGCACACACCTTTTGTTCTCCAGTTTAGCTTTTTTCATTGATGTTCCATGAAATGTTACGACTAGAGAGACCTGAAGTGCAGTTAGTTTTCTTAGTTCCTCTCAGTGCGTAACCATAGCCATTTCCATTTCCTGCCCTCCCAGGTTCTGGTTCCATGTGCTCTTTTCTCTGTGCTTCAAAGAGAAGCAGTACTGTATGGAGTCTAAACCAGAGGTGACTACAAAGGGGAGCTGGAAGGACCTCATTGCTGCATAGCACACACCTTTTGTTCTCCAGTTTAGCTTTTTTCACTGAGGTTCCATGAAATGTTACAATTAGAGAGACCTGAAGTGCAGTTAGTTTTCTTAGTTCCTCTCAGTGCCTAACCATACTAACCATAGCCATTTCCTGCCCTCCCCGGTTCTGGTGTTTTGTTTGTTTTTTTTTTTACTTGTACTCCAGTGATCATTTAAAAGGGTACAAACCATAATCCTGCCTGATTTCACCTGTAGCAAACTTAGGTACACATTCTTATGTTACTGGTACCTTTAAAATCCATGGTGAGGGAGATAAGAGAAATATTATTGTAACAACTTCTGAATATGAAGATCACTAAAATTTATTTATTTACTTTTCCATTGAAACTGACGTGGTCATTTTCAGAAAGGTGGTTCTTATTCAAAAGCAATGAAATTGACATCTTCTTGTGTCTTTCTGCCTTTGCTACTGAACCTGTTTGTAAGTGGGTGCAAAGAAACAGTTCCAGGTGCCAGTGTGCAGCACTGGGGCTGGTGCTGGGGAAGGTGTATTTCCATCACGGTCATACTGGGCAGGGAGGGACAGCTCTCGCAGCTGAGTGCCTCCACAGACACCTTGGCAGAATGTTTCCCAGAAAACATTCCAAGCTAAAAGCTAAACCAAGCTCTGGTTGTGCCAGCAGTGTCTGGCTTTTCTGAAATGGCAGGCCAGCTTCAGAAGAGTGTGCTCTGAGCTCACTGGGCACAGCAGTGTTCCACTTCAAAATTCGTGTCTACTGCGCTGCTGCCCGTTAGCTTTAGTGCTGTTGCCATCTTCCCAGAGAAGCCGAGTTGGCAGGATCTCTGTGTTCCCTCAGTGCCACACAGTCAGCTTGGCTGACTTCACATTCATTTCAAGTTCCAGTTTACGACTCCTCTAAGAATTTTTAAAACAGCTTTTGTGATCTCTACCTTTATTTTTTGTTTGCTACCCACCCTCAGCATTCTGTCCTTACGAACCTGAACTGGCACCTTTTCTCCACGCTGGCTGGTGTCCCAGCCCCACGTTAACACCAGAGCCCAAGTGTTCTGTTCCCTCGGGGCCTTTCCTTCAGTGCTCTGTGGGGAGCCGTGCTCGCTGCCCCGCGCCCGGCCCTGCCCCGTGCCCGCAGGAGGACGTGGTGCCGAACGAGCGGCGCTGTTTTTCAGGTGTGGAAGAAATTGAATTCATGCAGCTGATGTTCAGAGAAGATTTCATCAGTGACAGCTATTTTGGCGGGAACCTGCATGGAGTCATAGCTACAGAAGAGCTTCACTTTGGGGAAGGCATGCACCGGAAAGCCTTCCGGAGCAGAGTGGTGCGGGGGCTCGTGCCCGTGTTCGGCCCCGGCCACTCCTGCGTCCTCAAGGTGCACAACGCCATCACCTATGGCACCAGGAGCAAGGATGAGCTCGTCCAAAAGAACTACAAGCTAGCACTGCAGGTGAGCTTCCCCTGTCCTTCAAAAGCAAGAGTTGTGGGGAAGAGCTGCCTTGCAAATATTCAAACAGATGGTCTGTTCAATGCTTTGAGTGGTACTCCACAAGCATATCTGTTTGTAATGCAGGAGTGCTATGTCCAAAACACTGCGAGAGAGTATGCCAAGATATATGCAGCTGAAGCTGAACCCTTGGAAGGCTTTGGGGAGGTACCAGAGTGAGTATATATGTATTTTCTTTTTTTATATACATAGACACATATGTATATATATTGTCTTGTGCCATAGCTGGCCACTGACTGTTAGAGCTGAGTCATGACCTAAATAATATGGAGTATTAAGATGGTGAGAGAGATTCCATTCCCATTAGAGAAGCATGATAAGGAGTAAAGACAGTAAGTAGCAGGCAAAAAGGTGATTTTGGTATAGAATTAGAGGATTTTATTAGTATTAAAATACAATATTTTTTATGTTAATAATATAAAAAAAATTACTCCTTCACTGACAGAACTCTGAGTTTTATTAGTTTTCTTCCCTTGGTTTCAGGATTATTCCTATTTTCCTTGTCCATCGCCCTGCTAATAACATCCCCTATGCGACAGTGGAGGAGGAGCTGGTTGGGGAATTTGTGAAATACTCTGTCAAGGATGGCAAGGAAGTAAATTTCCTGAGAAGAGACTCAGAGGCTGGACAGAAGTGTTGCACCTTCCAGCACTGGGTGTATGAGAAGACCAATGGAGACTTGCTTGTCACTGACCTGCAAGGTGAGTTGTCAGAGTGGAGGCATTGCACTGGCTTTCCCCTGGCACAGGCTGGTACCGCTGCAGGCAGTCCCGTAACTGCAGAGCTTCCAGAGACTGAGTTCTGAGCAGGGTTCCTCCCGGCTGCTGCGTGCTGTTGGCAGTGCTGCATGTGCTCCTTCCGTAGCCCTGCAGTGGGCAGAGTCATCTCCAGGTGTGGGCAGTGCCCTGGGCCTGGGCCTGTTTTATACAGCATCACATGCAGGTCAGGATAAAATACAGGGGAGAGAGTTAGGGTATTTCATTTTCTAGCCTCTTTTAAGTGCACTGTGTTCATTTGTGTGTTACCTGAGGGAACAGAAAGACATTAATTAATCACCTGCTGTGGCAGCAGGGGTTAACATGTATTAACTTACGCAGTATTGTGATGTCTATCTAATTAGCAGAGAAAGGGAATTTTTATCTAGCTTGTCATCTTGAAAGAAAACAGTTTGTAAAAGGAAAAACAAATCTCATGCTCCTAACAGGAGAGTTGTTCTTCTGCATGCCCCCTTAGTCCATCAGGACATCACTGTCAGTTAGGTCTGGCTTATTGTCTCACCTCCCCCCGAGGTTAATGGAATGTCTTGTGAGTTGAAGGCTGCAGTGGAACATCCCAGCCCTTCACTTTTTCTTGTGTTTAAATACTTACCAGCAATCTCTCAAGAGCAGAATGCTCCACATTCAGGTCCTGGCTAGGTTTGAAGAAACATGGTCCTTCAGAAAAAACAGAATGGTGAAGAAATTTCCTCACACTGGCTAAACATTGCCCTTGTGCTTCTATGGGTGTGACTCCTCCTGGCTGCTGGCCCTGTAGCCCACACAGTATGCACTGATGTGTTTGAAACAGAGAAAGACAGACCTTTGTTAAAGAAAACCAGGAAAAGGTAGAATCTTCTGAAATATCCCTTATTCTTTAATAAGAGAAGGCAGTAAAATTAGCAACAAGACGTCTAAATAAGACCCCTGAAGTAATTTAAAGGGAGGAGGAAGAACAAAATCCTAGCTCCAGGGAAGCACAACAGCAGAAGTGGTATTTGAGCCTCTGTAATTGCAGCCACAAAGGACAATAGCCCTGCTGCTGTTGAAGAGAAACATAGTTCTTCTCTGATCATCTTCTCATTTAAGTGTCTAGGCTGCATTTTTGACCCATAGCAGCTGAGATTTCTGAGGGTATTTCCCAAGGAAAATGGTCTTGAGACCATCATCTTCCAGTATAGAAAAGAAATGTGCAGTGCAGGACTGGATTTTGCCTATAAACAAGTCAACAAAGAGACAGGTTGAAACCCCCAATTTTTTTTTTGAAATACTGAATGAGAAAGAAGTAAAATCACTGAAGAAGTAAAAATGAGGTTGACTGACCTATTGATACTTGGTTGACAAAGCAAATAGGCAGTCGGTGCTGGTAAATGCTGTAGCCCAAGTTCACAAAGCATCAAACCCACAAGCCCCACGGATGAATCTGCACCTCTCAGGGCAGGTGCATAAGCAAAGATCTTCTGTGTTTCTGACAATGCTGACACGAGAGTGTCACCCCTCACCCCTGCCCCCCCTCTGTCTGGCACTGGGGGCAGTTGGGCTCTACTGATCCCCTTGCCAGCTGTGAACTGCCTGCAGGAGGCTGAGGTCTGGGAGCTGCCAGGGACAGAGAGCACAGACAGCTGCTTTCTGAGCAGGGGACCTTAAAACATTTGGAAAAAATGGTGACAAATCATCAAAATAAAAAATGTGGATCAGTAAATAATATTTCGTGCCTCTGCATATGGTACTGTTGAATCTGAACATATTCCTAGAAATTTTAGTGTAACATAAGCTTTCTGTTTGCTTGCTGCCTTGTAGGTGTAGGAATGAAGTTAACTGACGTTGGCATAGCAACGCTGGCCAAAGGGTGAGTGGAGAATGATTTCTCAGTGCATGGCTTTGCTTTACACACCAGTCTCCTCACGGGTGAATGTGGTGGGGAGGGTGCACTGGAAATCTGTTCTGGCTTTAACTTGGGAAGAAAACAACCCTCATCTGACTCTTAACTTATTTTTGTTCATATTTATGGAGCCTGCCTATAAGTGAAACAGGTTTATTTTGTTCTAAAAGGATGGAGCTACACTGTAGATTGGGCTTTGCTTTTTCTTCATGCATCCCTTAAAATAGGTTTATTCAAAGGGCATTTCATGGGTGAAATCAGTATCTGTGGTGACTTACAAGCAAGTAATGCACTTCACGTGGAGGTACACCAGCTGGAGGAAGGTAGGGCTGAAAATGCAGGGCCAGCCCTGGCTCCAGCCTTGGGGCACAGTGAAAGCCCTGGGTTTTGTTCTGTCAGGAGCTGCTGACCATGGAGGAAATAGCTGAAGCCCAGATGCTGTTGGAGCCAGGGCTCCCGCTGGGTTTGCACTCACTAACACCTGCCCTAGAAAATTCCAGTACAAGCACTTATACCTGTCTAGCCCTACTACTAGATCCTGCTGCCAGGAGCTGAGGTGACCCTTCTCCCCTCCTAGTCTTCCCCTGGAGAAAGAGAGGATGTCTACTGTGGGACCTAGGGAAGAAGATGCCCTGAAAGGAGCCAAGATTTGTATTGCTCTTTTTGCTAGGAATTTAAAGGGCTGGAGCAGATACCTCATGAGAGAACCCAGCTGAGATCCCTCTTGCAGCCAGCAAAAGCACCAAAGCTTTAGACTATGTATTTATGACGCAAGCTTTTAGAAAGACTCTTTTCTTGGTTTAGAACTCTGTGGGTTAGTTTTTCCTCCTGCAGCAGGCAGTGACCATAAGCCTCTCCTGTGCCCGTGTTCTTGTCAGCTGCGTGGTCCGAGGGAAGGTGTCTGCTCAGCTTGGTGTAGGCTCTGCCCTGACAGAAATGTGGTAAGGGATCTGATGGTGTGTCTTCCCCTTCTCTCCCAAAACCAGTAATTCTCAGTGATAATAAAATATCTGCTAGTAATATTTAGAGGCCTGTTTTCTCATAGTTTTGTAGTGGCTTCAGGTCTTTTGGGACACTTCAGAGTGTGTGCAAAGATGTAGGCCTTTAGTGTTCTAACTTCCTTCCCCTTCTCTTAAGTTTATTTTATTAAATCTTCTAGCTATACCACAGGCCAGAAGAGCTGTTGGTAGGAACAGGCAGTGTAGGCAGCCGTGGAAACCAGCTAGCTGCTGGAAGAGGGAAGGGAATGGGGGGTAAATGTCTGTGACTAGTGCTTTAAATTCATACTCTTTTGAGAGACTAAAAGGGAAAGGAAGTTCTGATCACATATATTCAGTCTTTATAGTAAATGGGAGCTTGTCTGTATACTTAGGTTGCAGGAAAAAAACTCACAATACATTTTAAATTATTGAAACTTTGACCCCAGAACATTCTGGGAAAATCCTTAACATTTGCAGGCTGGCATCCCTTCAAAACTTACACTGATTTGCTCTTTTAGCTGTGGGTCCAAAGTGAAACCAGTTGAAATGAAGTTGCATCATCCTGTTATAGAACAGGTCATAAAAATTTTATTTTGGCAACACTGTTCTCTGGAGTCAGAAGATTTACAGGAATACTTTAATGACTGTTGTTGTTCAGCTCACTGTGGGAAATTCATCCTATAAAAACACATGCTGGACTAGGGAGGAGGGAGGTGGAGACAGAAAATAAGTACACAGTGCAAGCTGCAGTAAGAATCTCCTCAGTCACTTATAAGGGCGTATAATTTCCCCTCATAAACGACCTCTTAAAAATGCTAAGTATCATTTTGTTTCTCATTTAGCTAATGATATTGCTAGAAGGCAACAGATTTTTCCTGGCCCTGTATTTTTCTTCCATGCTTCTTTCTCAGAAAGGACAACTCTTCATTAATTCCTGCAGTTTGATTTTTAATTCCACAGACCTGGATGTTGTAAGCAAGCAAGTATGCAGAATTAATGTGTATTACTGGCTGTTGGTGCTTTGGGTAGTGTGCAGCCGTGCTGGTGAGAGGGCGTCTACCTCACGTGTTTGGGAGAACATACATAGTCCTACTTCACTGAAAATTATAGTACGGCACTGTTCTGATATGGACATCATTGTTAGAGAGGATACAAAGCTGATTATTTGTTGTAATTGCCTATAGAAATTCTCAGTTTCCTCAGCCACACTTTGCAGAGGTAGTGACCTCACTGATGACAGACAGGTCCTCTGCCTCCAATTCGTCTAAGCCTGGGCCAATCACATCAAGGCAAACCAAGAGTATCCTTAGGAGATGCTTCTGTGGTCTGTGATGGAGGCCACCAGCATCCTGGTCCATATCAAAAACACTGTGTCCAGCAGGACTAGGGAAGTGATTGTTCCCCTGCATTTGGCACTGGTGAGACCACAGACTGAGTACTGAGGTCAGTTTTGGGCACCGCAGTAGGAGAAAGACATTGAGCTTCTGGAGGGGGTGCAGAGAAGGGCAATGAAGCTGGTGAAGGGCCTGGGGAACATGGCTGGTGAGGAGCAGCTGAGAGACATGGGGGTGTTTAGTCTGGAGAAGAGGAGGCTGGAGGGAGTCTTAACTGCTCTCTGCAACTCCCTAAAGGAGGTTGTGGTGAGGTGGGTGTTGGTCTCTCCTCCCAAGGAACCAGCGATAGGACGAGAGGAGATGGGGTTAAGTTGTGCCAGGGGAGGTTTCAACTGGGTATGAGGCAGAATTTCTTCCCTGGCAGAGTGGTGAAGCCTTGGCCCAGGCTGCCCAGGGAGGTGCTGGAGTCCCCATCCCTGGAGGGGTTCATGTGTAGACATGGCACTTCAGGAGGTGGTTTAGTGGCCATGGTAGTGTTGGGTTGATGGTTGGACTTGATGACCTCAGAGGCCTTTTCCAACCTTTATGATTCTGTGATTCTATATTGTTCCTGGTTGGAATGTAAATTAAATATAAGTTCACTCTAAGATTAAACTTGTATCAGGGGGAAAAAAAAACCTGAAAAAAACCTCTTGTCTCCCCCACCCCTGTAATGCTCATAGTGCTGTCAAGCTTTCAAATAATCTAATGTCATAGTACAAATTGATTTTGATGCATTTCCCCAAGCTGTATAGCACTGTTTTGAATTATTCACAACCATTATTTATCTCCCAGTGTTTCTTGTAAATCAAGAAACAGCCTATATTAAAATTTTGTACCTGTCTTCTGCATTGCTTATTGCTATTAATGATTTTTTGGGGAGGTCCAGACTCACATTCCAAATATGAACAAACATTTGTTCTTTACTTGTTAAAGTTCTTTACTATGAGGGTGGTAAGACACTAGCACAAGCTGTCCAGAGAGGTGGTTGATGCCCCATCCCTGGAGACATTCAAGGTCAGGCTTGATGGGGCTCTGAGCAACCTGCTCTAGTTGCAGCTGTTCCTGCTCACTCCATGGGATTGGACTAGATGACCTTTTGAGCTCCCCTCCAACTGAAAGCTTCCTCTGATTCTGTGATTTTCTGGTGAGCATTTATGTATCCTCTGGCTTCATCTTTCCCCTCCTTCCAGTAGAGGCTATGGAGAGACTGATGTTTTCACCAGTTAACACTCTTCTTTATCCTTTGTCTACCCGTTTTTCCTGCGAATTGGAAGGGGAGGGAGTGCAGGTGGAAGGTCCTTTCTGCCGTGTGCTGGAGCAGCTGCAGCACAGGTTCCGTCAGTAGAGGGCGAAGCCCAACCGGGAACCGCAGCCCCTTGTGGGGGGGCCCGGGGGCGGGCGGGGCCCCCGCCACTCCCTGGGACAGGGACTGGTGCAGCAGGGTGCCTGGCTGCTGAGCGCAGAGGGTGAGCCAGCGCAGGGGCTGTGCAGGGGTGCCCAGGGTCACCCGGGTGTGGGCAGGGCCCAGCGGAAGGGGCGGGTACAGGGTGGCCCCTGGCTGCCGGCGGTGCCCTGTGCCACGCGAGGGGCGGGAGGTGCCAGGGCGTCCACAAAGCCAGTTCTGCTCAGCGGGGCAGCAGGAGGCCCTGGGGGGTTCAGCCCGGGTACGAATCCAGCATTCCCCTTTCACATCTAAGGAAGGTTTGCTTTGGGCCAACCCCCAACTGTCAGGTCTGGGAGATGGAATTCTGTCCGGGTTTTATTTGTCAGTGATCTAGTCAGTGAATGAACAGCATGTGCTGTGCAGAGTAGCAGAGTCCTGTTTTGTGAGACTTGGAAGGGCCAGTAGCTTGGTGTTACTGAACACAAAACAGATGAGAGCGATGGGGTCTGTACAGTGGAGAAGCCCCCCAGTGATGGAGACCTTCCCCAGTGCCACATGGTGTGGGCTGCAGCAGCACGGGATGCTCTGAGTCAGGCTCACAGCCCTGCCAAATCAGAGCAGAGCTCTGGTCACTGGCTCTGCCCAGGAGTGCTGCAGCCTGGAGGTGCACAGGGGGCTCTGTGGGAGCAGTGACTGACAAACAGCAACTGGCTGGGAGAGCTCTGGTGCAGAATGGGGTCTCACATCTGCAGATGAGGGTTTCTGTGGCCTGCTGTGGGGCTGTCTGCCCACTGCAGAGCCAGACCAGGCTCATCTGTGCCTCTCACCTCCCAAACGGTCGGGGAGTGTTAGCCACGAGATCGAGAGCAAACCTGTTCTAAGCAAAGGGAAAGGAAGATGGATTGATTTAGGAAGAAAGCTAGTGAAATAAAATATTCATGTGTTTTTAGTAGAAATGTTCTGTCTCTTGTTCACAGGATATTTATGCTTTTACTGCAAATTTTCTGGCATTTGTTGAATTCTAAAGCTGAAGTTAGTTAGCAGAGCATTCAACTGTTCATTTAAAGGATCTCTTGCTCATAGCAATGTCTGAGCAAATGCTGCTGTTTCTGATGCTTAGATGTTCATTCAACAACACACAGAAATTGGGAAATAACCAAATACAGACAGGAAAGCTATTTAGACAGACATCTACGTACTTCATGAGAAAACTGGACTTCTTTAGCTCAACTTTTTCATTCCAAGAGTACTTTTAGAAAGAAATTAGTATTATCAGAATTTTGTAGCATAAGAAAAACACATGAAGAGATTTTCTTCAGCTGTAACAAAATGGCCTCTGAGGAAATAAAAGAATGAAAGTAAGAGGAAGAGTGAATGGTCATTTTGCAGCCACAAATTAAAACAGTCAGCATGCAATGCAGTGAAACTTCTCACCTAATTGATAGCCCTGGAGGTTACTTATCATTAATATTCCTGCCAGAACACACCTGCACAAAGCACAATAGCAAGGAGGCCTCTGAGTCAGTCCCTCAGCAGAGACAGAGAATTTCAGGGAGCTGAGGAGGCAGGTGCTGGCCGAGGGCTGTCTGTGCAGAGCCTCATCATCTCTCTCTATCCCACGCTGCTGCAGCACCCTCCCCGCCTCACCCGACGGTGGAAGGTGCTCTAGCAGCAGCTGCTGTTGCCACTGGTGCTCACTGGAAAGACCCAGTGGTTAATTGAATAGTCAAGATAAATAATCAAAATATTTTGGGCTAGGTTTTGTTTCTTTGCTGGCAGTGCCAAGACTCCAGTTTCTGGCGTCAGGATCAATGCTTGTTATAAGAGATCTTCTTGCTGAGCAGAGACCTGTTTGCCTGAAGAACACCTTCTGCTGATGTGTCTGGAGCACACACCTGTTGGCTCTAGTGAAGGAGCTGCAGTGTAAAGTCTCAAGTCTATTATTTCCCTAAAGGAGCAAGAGAACAGTTCATTATCTTGCTGAGCTCCAGAGTATAGTCCTGAAGTAACAGTGGCACTCCTCTTAGACTCCCTTTGGGTAAACAAGCACATAACTTACTTGGAGAGGAGGGGAAAAAAAACTGCCAAACCCTTTGCAGTTCATCTGGCTGTTCATAGCTGAGTTGTTGCTCTAGAGCAGGGGAGGCTTACTGCCTAATTAATTTAGAGGGTAACTTTGTCTGGTATGAACAGCTTCACATGGCAAATAATAGTAAAATACATTTGGAGCTTTATTTTGTTGGAATACATATTTAACATTCAAAACCTCTGATTTTGAAGAAGATTCTGAGAAAAAAATATTGGTATGAGAAGACAAAAAGTATTCCTAAATATTTATGATCAGATAGTTGAACTCCAAAATAGTTATTTTATTGAAGTTAACCACCAGCAATAATTTAATTCCTGAGAAGATTATGGTTGTTCACCTGCAAAGTCTTCATCATCGTGGCTGCAACAGCTTGTCTGAAATCCTTTGGGATCCCTCCTCCATGGGTGGGCAAGTGTGACAGTGTTTAAAAGCAACAGCAAAATGTATGGATGACTTTTTTAGGCTGTAAGGGGGACTGCCAGTATGTATCACCGTCCTGGTATGTGCCTGAGGAAGCAATAAATATAACCTTTCGGATGCACTAGAGAAACATTCAGGTTTGCATTATCCACCAAAGGGATTTCATACCTCCTAGGTGGAATTACTGGTTCTAGGACAGCAGTGAGCCTGAGGTTTCAACTTTTCTATTTCTTCTCAAGAGGAGGAACGCTAGAGATGCAAGTCAGGACAGTTAGAGCTAAGTGGAGGCAGCTGTCCTCCACTGGCACCGTTCTTGGTGCTGAACACAGACGGGATTTCATGTATGTGTTACTGAGACAAAGTTAGCCAGCAGACAATTACATTCCCATCTCCATGAAATGAAAAACAGTACCCAGGACACAGACCACAGAACTATGCCTCTTTAACCCTTTTCCCTCTTCTGTCACTGTTTATCACCTGGTTTCCTTCACCTCTCAGTGGCTCAGTTTGATTTTCTGTGACATTTAGTTCTCAAAACAGCATGGGTGGAAGAGACTTGCTTCATGTTTTCAACTTGCTTATGAGTCAGCAGTCATACTCTGCCTCCCTTGTGCTGCAAATGAATCTTGAAGTCCCATTTGGCTTTCTTTTTTCTTTGTTGCTACAGATACAAGGGTTTTAAAGGCAACTGCTCGACTTCCTTCATTGAGCAGTTCAGAGCTCTCCACCAGTGCAATAAATACTGTGAGATGCTGGGGCTGAAATCTCTGCGAACCACTCATCAAAAACAGAGGAAAGCAACATCCATGAAAAGCAAAAATCTACCAAACTCATCGACTATAAAGAAAACAGTGCCCAAGAAAGCAAGAGAACCTAGAGACTTCATTTCTTCAGAGCACTGAGTTGCACTGTCCCATCCTGTGAAAACTCCTCTCGAGGATATATGGCAGTGGTAGGCACCAAAGACCTGGTGAGGGGACAGCTTTAGGCTTTTGCCTTATGACATCATTGTGAAGTCATCCTGATGCTGATACCAGCAGCAAAGAGAGGAGCTGATTCTGTGGTCTCGGTACCTGAGATTTAACACAGGGCCAAGGTTTTGAAGACCGTCGAAGCCACCTGCCTGGATTTCCTTACAACCCTTCTGTGTTTTGGTAACTGCATGTGTTGAGTCTTGGACACTGAGTGTGTACTCAGGTCCCTGGAGAACATCTTCTCTTCTGTGTGCCTGTGACCCTGTGGGTTCAGCTGTTACATAACCATCAGTATAATTAAGATGCCACTTAGTAAAAGTTTTGCACAGTATTGTTGCCCAGGCTGCTATAGAAGAATTGTTTTCTTTCCCAGATTATTGCATATTATAATCCTACTATAATCCTCTTCATGTATTTTTTTCTCTCACTTACATGTCTTTTAATACAAGACACAGCCATTCAGATTGTACATATCTGTCTTCTGCCCCCTACAAAATAAGCTGGCATCTTTAAGGTCCTCACAGAGCGATGTCATCATCTTAAAGATGGGCAACTCGTGTTATTCCCCTCAGAATTCCTTGCTTTCCATACAAGCTTCCTTGAATCTACAGTTACCTCCGTGGCACGGTCCTGTTGTGCTCACAGCAGTCCTGTTGCAGGACAGAGGTGTGGAGTCGGCGTGTTGCCCAGCAGCTGCCACCTGAGAGGGACCGTTACTCACAGAGGGGATTCCAGCACCTGGTGGCATTTTCAACTAGAATAAGTAGAGTGACTTTTCTGTGGAGCATAGAGTTGTTTTTTTGCAGGGACATGACAGGTGCCCTGGTGCAGTACCTGTCCACTAAAGAGTCATGATTCATCTGCAGTGCTTAGGCAGGAACAGAACTTCAAAAAGATACTGAGCTCCACTAAGCTCCGGGGTAGCTGCTGTGGAGATCTGCAGCCCGGGGAGGGAACTGTGCCTGTCAGAGGACTGCAGTGAGTTTACTGGGGGTGGCACCTGAAAACCCAACCTGCAGTGCCAACACAGAGGACAAGCACTGGTCATCATCAGGCTTCTTATGCCTCTGTGATTGCTAAATAAGGGGTGGTGCCAGAAACCAATACCCATGTGTAAGAGCCCCCTCAGTCCCGAGGAGGATAAAAGCAATTCAGGTAGCTTCTGCTTTGTATTGATAAGCGTGGGTGCCAATTAACAGAGAAACTGCTGGGGACTAGCTGGCAATGGGGACAGAACTCACCTGACTGCAGTGTAGATGCAACATCCAGGCTTGTCATCCGGGGCTTCCTTTATGGCTAATGGAGGTCTTCTCAATGGACTTGAGAGCAAAGTGTGGGCCATCTGAAAGACAAACATTTGGTATAGTTTAGATCAAGTGTGCCAAAAAAGTGCTTAGATCTCTGCATTGAGTGAAAAGGAAGCTGTGTCAGACAGACATCTGCATTTTCAGTTCCTCCTCTTACATGGGATGAAGTTCTTCAGAGTTGCTCTGATGCATCTGAGTTTTTAATGCTTTTCTGCAAACTTAGGTGGAGACCAGCTACCAAATGGTATTGCAGAAATCAGGATGGTATTGTAGTCCCTGTAAAATCAGATCTATTAAATTGTTCTGGGTAGTGTTGGTGGGAAGGGAAGGTGATGGGAATGGGGCTTATCGGGCGCTCTGTCGTGTTGCAGCTGGAAGCACTGGGTTGGGCAGGGGCA